TTCAGTTTCAGTTATCAACCGCACAATCAACAATGTTTTAAAACATGATTTAAAACAATTCAAAAATCATTAAAAAATCATTAAAAAACGTTTTTTTGCCATCCCTAGGTTTAAGGTGTTACCTCGTGAAATATGGTTTATCCGAATCAATTATTGAATCTGTACGTATCATGAAATTAGAAGGTGCAAGACGCCTAATAGCAATTGGTAATACGAAATCCAATTAATATAAGTGTTAAATAAAACGATTAGGCACATGTACCTTATAACAAGGTGTTTCTAATGCTAATAAGGCGCAATTGCGCCTTAATAACATCAGAAACATTACTATGCCTTATTAGGTATTAGCAATGTAATATGTTCAAAATTTATGAATTAGATTCGGCATTTATACCTAATAAACTATTATTTATTCGGTATTTCGCACCTATTAGTTGTTTAAAATAATTTTTTTTTTTTTTTTTACAAAAAAAGGTTAAATAAAGACAATAAATATAAAGTATTACAATACTTTAGATTGTACGCATTTTATTTATAAGTAAATTGATGCTCGTTGCGTACAGTTCAATCCCAGAGACCTGCATCCATATAAAATTTCAATATAAGAGACTATTTTATAATAAGTATTTCGGGAGAACTGAATCGTTATCGTTATTACAAATTTTTTTGTTGATAAAAATATATTCGGTATTACTTCAAATAGGGCAATAATCAGCAACAAAATCAACCTTATCGGGAACGATATACAAATTAAAAGGGAAAAAAATATTTCACTCTATGGAACGGTACCGACGATCCATCAAAAATGGTAAAACTTGAAGTCTAAAAAGATTCCGATTCCGGATTTTACTACAATAAATAAATCAGGAGAAAACATGAATTTAAACTCTTATTCAGGTGTCAATCACGAGTACGGACAATCAGTTTTTACTGATGCAAAGTTTTTCTTTCAATGATAAGTACATACCGAGTGTACCGAGTGATGGTCTGGACCAGTGTATAAAATTGATGCATTACTCGGATGATTATATCCCGTGGCACGCACTGGCCTGCTCCTTCACACGCATATATTTGGTCTGGACCACATTATCAGCTTATAACTGTTACGCAAACAATTAAAAACAATTGGAATTTTCCGAGGTTAGATTATCGATTTATTATTTTAATTGGCTTAAAAAATTTTTTCAATTTAGTGTGATTTCGTTGTCACATGATATCTTATCTTGGCGAACAAAAGTGAAACGGACGGAAACGACAGAAATAAAGCATAATTGACATTCTTAAAAATTCAAACCGAAGGAAGACTAAAACAATTTCTTAAAAAAATAGGAATATTTAAGTGTCATAAAAAAAAATAATAATAATTCCCTAGTCTTAATTGTTCCAACAAAGAATAGCTAATCATTGTATAGAATGTTATTTGTGTCTTTCTGAAATATAAAAAAAAAAAAAAAAAACGATACAAAATAAAATTTGTTGAAATCTCGGGTAAATGATTCTTGAACGGAAAATTTCTAATTAATGTAAAAATAAAACATTAGTTTTTTGGCCGTCACGAAATTAAATTATACCCTGGTCACTATATCAAGATCGCAGGGTATAAATCAGTTATGCCCTGGGCACTATTTGTATAAGCGGAAGTTTCATTTCCGCTTATACCCAACTGCCCAGGATATAACTATTACTTTTAAATTGTTTGTCAATTATACATACATAAGGGTTTACACATTAACAGAGCGACAATAGTAGTTTTTTCTTTGGCTGTGAGAAGGTTATTTTCTAAAATTATTCGACATGCAGACTCCCAATCTTGCCGATCAGGCCCTACATTTGCTATAGAACAAGCCTCTCTGACAGCTAATGCTATTATTCGAGCACGATTTGTATCTTGTTCAGCGATTTCTTTGATGCGTTCATGGTCATCAATTATGTCCATGCGTTCTTTGGATGAGTTTTTTTCGGACATGAAGTAAATAAGTCTAGCAAATCGAAGGATTCAAAAGCATTTAAGAGAAGCAAGAGAATGTTTTCGGATTACAATTGTAAACTTATATTCATAGTATAAATGCTTGCTATATTTGCTATATGCTATATGTAAAGAAAAACTACAAGATCAAAGATATATTAACTAAAGAGAGTGACAAATTCAAATAGGGATAAAACAGATATTTTCCGAAGAATTATTCCCATCAACAAATACTCTATTTTTGAATCATTTTTTATCAAAATTTGTACGATTTGGACTATAAAAAAAGCTTAGCTGCAGACAAAATCTAGACCTCTACTTGCCATAAACCGCTTATTTTGGAACAATTCATTTTAAATAGAACATCAATGCATGCAGATGTTTTCTAGCAACCCAACGATACAAACTAAGCAAAAAATAGTGATTTTTTTAAGATGATTCATTATATTGTAAAAGATAAACAAACAGTGCATCATACACTTTTAGCACATGTTGGACAAAGATCTAGACTCATCTTAAAAAATCAACTGAATAAACACAAGTCATATTCATATTAGAGTTGCTCGCTGCTTTGTGAAACTGTGCATACAAAAATTGCAGCCTCATTTAAAATGAAGTTATTCAAAATTTCAATTTTAGAGCTATCAAGACGAGAAACATATTACATATCTTTGGTTGATGTTTAATCTCATCACTTTGTATAAAATACAATATGATCTCCAGACACAGACCATGGATTTGCTTATATTAAAAGAAAAGACTAGACGCGTTTCGTATAAAAAATTCTTTTAGAATTTCAGAAATTAATCCTATTTTTATGTAGTTACTGCAACTCTTCAATGCTCGTCGCCTATTAGGTATTTAGAGAAACGCCAAATACGCCCTTACGTCCAATATCTGTTTGTGTATATGCATAGGTACGTAATTAAATCCCAACTATTATATTGTATGAGGAGAGGTTTGCATGAATCCAAATACAGTATATCGCAATAAATTAAAATGGTAAAATTAGATATTTAAACTTTGCTCTGTATAATACTAGGCGCATTTTAGTACTTGGATCAAGAATAAAAAACTTTTCGTTTGTTGTGCATGGTTACATTCAAATTTGTGCGTCTTGACTGTTCTTGCTGTTCTTGGAGGACAATCATAACATAAGAACGTTTACCTATTATTCAGTCAATCTTCTTTTGTAATTTATCTATTTTAATTATCTATGAAAACAATGCTTCAAAAAAAAAAAACAAGTCATATGACGTTAACAATGTTAGAATTGAATAAAAAGATCATAGTATTAACTTTTATTGTATTTTTTAAAAAAAAGACCTGGATTGATTTTGTACATCATCATGTGCAGTTCCTTAGGAGAACCTAAATAAGCCAACTTATCCCACAGACGACACATTTGTTAACATTAAAGAAAGCAATTGATCTAGATTGACTTGATTGTGCAAAATTTTGATAAGAAACTCTTAAAAGTTTTTGTTTTCTATAGACAACTAAATATGGTTGGATTATTAATTCCATCATTTATGATTATATATATATTCTAATAATATGATCTTCATTCATCAGAAGTTGCCCCATAGCGTAATAATTAGTACATCTAATACACGAGTGAATTTGACACACAATGTTGATCATAAAAAAACGATATTATTGATGGTCATTATTTATACTGTAGCACCTTCAAATATAAATAATATAATTTTCACCGTCCCTATTGCTGATCTATGCATGCAATTAATGATATGTTGAATTTAAAGCCTTATAAAATAATTATTTTTCATCTGTTTCAAGAACATGAATTCCTGATCTCAATAATAAAAATTCTTGATCTCAATCATAAACTTTTCTTCCATTAATATTTAATTGTATTCTGCGTCACTAACATAAAAAATTTCGCACTAGTGTTATGTTAGGGTTTGAGCTTTTTTTTTTTTTTATGAT